TGCCGGGCAGAGAAAAAGTCCCCCCCCCTGCCAGCAACAGGCTGCCCCCTCCCCTGAGCAACAGGCTGCTGAACAGACAAAAGCAGCCTCTCTGCCCCTCCTCCCCTCTATACATGCCGGGCTCCCGGAGCGCAGCAGCGTCCCCGGGGCTCGCTCACCTGGGTCCTAGAATCCACCTCCTCCTCCTCTTCGGCCGGCTCCAACTGGCCTCTGCCTGCAGCAGCTGGCCACAGGGACAGGGATCCTGCAGAGCTGCCGGGCAGAGGAAAAGTGCCTCCCCACGCCGCCTCCCCCCTCCCCTGAGCAACAGGCTGCCGAACAGCAGACAAAAGCAGCCTCTCCGCCCCTCCTCCCCCTATACATGCTGGGCTCCCTGGGCAAACAAAGACTCCACCAAAACAAACAAAGTGCTGGCCTCATTGTGTTAGCAAAAAAAGGACCCTCCTCCTAGAACCCTGGGTGGTGTGTGGAAATAAAGCTATTAGCTCAAAGCATGGTGCAGAGCTGTTTGGTATTTGATGAGTTACTCCTTTAGTCCTGAGTTTGTCACAGGGACAGAAATAGATGTGAAATCTTCTGAACAGGGGAACAGACAGCAAAACAAACATTAGAGGGGAGTTAACCTTTCCCTATGCTATCCAAAACTAAAAAATATGTTTGGCTAGAGTTTCCCCTACAATATGTACCAGTTCCGACTTACATACAAATTCAACTTAAGAACAAACCTACAGTCCCTATCTTGTACGTAACCTGGGGACTGCCTGTAAATGAAAGTGAGTTAAATAGAATATTGTTCTTGTGATGTATGAATGACAATGATTACTTTTCACTTTTGGCCATTTATGTTGTCTTAATATAATATAAAAATTATGTCCATTTAAAAAAAAGTGTCTGTAAATTTTTTCCCATTTTGTCCATAAATGAAATTTCTATGGGTTGGCAACCCTGCCACACTGGTTGCAGCACATGGGTTATTTTTGTAGTTGGGGGAATACGACAACTAATCCCAAATAGTAATTATATCACTGGGAGAAGAATTCTGTTCAGTGAAATATGCAACGTTCACATGAGGCCTAACTTGAGGCCTGTCAACATGGCAAGAGTTTCTTGAAATACCCTTCTGAGCCCTGCAGGGAAAGACGTTTCAATGAGGTGACAGTTTTGCAAAGAATGCTGATTAATTTGGTCCAGAGATGGGCAAATGGCCCATTATTTGTTTGTTTGTATTAGCTTAGCCCATGAGCACTTCAGACCCTGTTCCAGTTGGCATAATGGTCATTTTTCTTCCTTGTACAGTTAATAGGTTGTGCGCTGATTCTCCATTTGTGGTTTGATTTCAGGCCCAGTGGGAATGGCAGCAGCTGCCGCCGTGGCAACAGGTAAAAAACGAAAGCGACCCCACGTGTTTGAGTCTAACCCCTCCATCCGCAAGAGGCAACAGACACGTTTATTACGGTAAGGACCCTCTCCTGCAGTGGCCTGTGGCTTGCACGAGCTAACAGCGGTTTCCACCTCTTTGTGCCTTTCCACAACCCGTTTGTCACTAAGAGATCGGGAGCTGGCTGCATGTTGCTCAGTTGAGGGCATCTTTGGCAATTTGAATTGAACCTGAGAGCTGTGTTGAATTTGCATCAGTGGATCAAATTGCAGCTTTCCCTGCTTTGATATATGGTGGCGTGACCCACAGAGACTGAAGTCGCCATCCTGATAGACTTCGCTATTTATTCCTATTCCTGGCTAATCACAAATGGAGTCCACGTTATTCTAATTGCCATCTTGCTTTTTGCCACTTGGATTCTGAACTCCTGCGAAAGCCATTATCTTGAGAACCATTAGAGCTACAATACCCCAGCTCTGGAATGGTCCAAACCATTTGCCACCATCAGGAGGGATGCATCTTTATTCAGTATTTGTGTTGTATTATTGAACGGGACCACTTATAAAGCCACCCAATAGTTCTAACACATGTCCCTGCACTCTCTCTCTTCTAGCAAACCCTGAGATGGCTGGTAGCAGGGTTTTTCACACAAGGGTAGTCTCAATAAAAATGTCCAGTGTTTAAATCTGTGCACGAGCCAGATGGGACCTAGTTTAGTGTGTCTGACACTGGGGAGTCCACATGGTATTGCATGATGACCGCTCTTAGCAGAACATCCACTGCGGAAGGGGGCTCAGAAATCCCCACGGGAATTGATAACCTTTAAGTTGCCACTTTATGCAACATTGATGAAGGGGAGACTCCCCCCTCCTGAACTATATAAACTTCCCATGATGTGCTCTAGCAAAGTCACTGCCTTTATCTTGTCAATTCTGTCACATCATTTAACATGTGAATACCAGGAAATAAATGGTAAGTATGAGCGTTGCGCCATGGAGGAAGCATCCCAGAGAGACTCACTGATGTAACAAGTGGCTGAATATGCATTTCCCTGAGCCAGCTGTTGCAATGTCTCTGTTTCTTGCTTACCACACGTCAGTTATAGCTTTGGGCAGGATTAAAGTACCAGTGAATTATTCCGCATTGTTGTGGTCGCAGAACATAGAATAGTTGACACGTGTATCAGAGATTCTTTCTCTGTAAAAACATTTCAAAGTGCTCTTCCTATAAATTCTGTATTGTTAGTCATTGGCTGAAGGTAGTTCCTTCCTCTGTGTTAACTGATCACCTGCAAGCGTCAGGACGTTAATTCCTCCTCTGTGTTTTACAATTGGTCACGTGCTTCATGGAGGGGTTTTTTTTTTTTACACATTCGATAAGGAATTGAAGGTTCATCATTGTTAGAGACAAATCTCAGACATGATGGGCCCAATGGTTTGATCCGATGTGGCTTTTTCTCTGTGCCATTAACCTCACTGCCGAGAGAGAAATGTTTTTCTCTCCACTCGCTGCTTTTCTTTTTTCTGAACACATTTCTTTGTGACAAGTAGAAATGCCATAGCTGAGCTGGGGCATGGCACAAAGGAACACAGCAGGCCTCTGGCAGCAAAGAGATGCTTGTGTAGCCCCTGTTGCTCACCAAGGCTTCTTTTCACACCTGCGTTTTGAATGGACAGGGTCAAGAAGAGGGATTTGTAATCTGAAGAACAGTGGTGGGAATGGACCTTAATTTTATCATCCCCGTTCCCCATTTTCTTCCCTTGTTTCAGGAAGCTCCGTGCCACGCTAGATGAGTACACCACCCGAGTGGGGCAGCAGGCCATTGTTCTTTGCATATCCCCCTCCAAACCCAATCCTGTTTTTAAAGTGTTTGGTGCTGCACCTTTGGAGAATGTGGTAAGTCTCCCTGGGAAGGGGAAAAGGCTCTAAGATGGGTTGTTTGCTGTCTGTGCATGTTTCATCGTGGCTTCCAGTGCTTCTAAGAGCCAGTGAGTGGTTTGAAAAACACCCCCACCTGGAGCCAGAGGATCGGGGGAACAGTCTCCCAAATGTGGCTCTTTCAGATACGGCCTGAATATTGAAGTCCCACCTGCTCTGTTTAGGTGCTAATGGTCCCCGTCTCCTCTCATAAAACAGGAGTCTAGCTTAGTGGTCACCATCAAAATGTTCCCTGTCTCCGTTTCTGTGCTGTGAGCTCATCGTGCACCTGGATTCTGCTGCCTCACCCTAGAGAGGGCTGCCTTTCAGTGCAGTTCTGTCTGCTGTGCGGAGTGAAGGAATGAGATCAGGGCACTCAGCCTGTCTTGCTTGCACTAGTGAGCACTGGGGTAGCCTGGCGTAAGGTAGGACGGATTTGACAGTACCACCATAGACAGGTGCATGGCAGGAGAAGGGGAGGGATTTTGTGGGACTGCCAGGGCAAAAGGTGTGTGTGGTGTTACCGGCCTTTAGCTATGATTATGGGACATTTACAGTGCTTCCCAGCCACTGGCACATGTAGCAGTTCAGGGTCTTCAGGCGTTAGCCACTGCATGTGGGCTGGCTAGCAACCCCTCGGCCAGTAGTCCCCACTCCAGCTCCTCTCGCACCCTGAAAGATGAAGATGCAATCTGTGGCGAGTCTCCTGCCCTATTTGCTGTGACATGCTCTACCTTCCAGTGCCACTTGGGCCGCTCGAAGCCTCACTCTTGTGGGCTCGGGGCTTGGAAGCCACCGAGGCGCCATTGTGACTTAGGTGAGAGGTGTGTGTCCATTTCAGCCGCGGGCAGGCCATGCTGGTGCACCTGAGGCTGAACACGCAGTCCGTGCAGATGGCCGCTGTGGGAGGGTGGGACGTAGGGGAGTCACTGGCTGGCACTGCCAAGCTCTCAATCTGGCAACCCAGTAGTTACCTGCAGATGTTGGGGACCGCTGATTTCCAGGGCAGCCAGGAAGGACTGGTCTCTTCTGGCAAATGGAAGGAGTTTAAAATCCTCGTGGCGGTCAGTGATTCCACCTGGCCTTGAACGAACGAGCTAGGACCTTGCAGGAAACGAGACGTGTCCTGCTTGCGATAGCTCCATTGCTTCCAAACTTTTACTGAAAGCATTCGAATGCCCCCCCTTGATGGTGTTACTTGGAGTTTCATCATTTCTCTTCCCTGCAGCCCTTTGGGGCCAGGGGGTATTTTTACCTCCCAGCTGTGGCATTGTTTGCTCACTCAGTTCTGCAGCATCTTGGGGAAAGTGAACAGCCCCTCCTCCGGTTACCTAGCGCCCTGGCCTCTCTTGTTGCTCTTTACCTTGTTTACCTGAGCCTCCTAATTCCCCACAGGTGCGCAAGTACAAGAGCATGATCCTGGAAGACCTGGAGTCAGCGCTAGCGGAGCATGCACCTGCGCCACAAGAGGTGAACTCCGAGCTGCCCCCCCTAACCATCGATGGGATTCCTGTCTCTGTGGACAAGATGACCCAGGTAAGCAGCCAAGGAAGGTGGAAACTTGGAAGAAGAACTGAAGAGGCGTTTTAAAGCTTGTTGATTTTGCAGTGCCGCATATGTCTGCACCCGGAGGGACACTTCATCCCATCTCTCTGGTGGGCCCGTCGTGAGAGGTGAATCCTTATCGCCGGGGCTCCTTTCCAGAGGAGACTGTAGAAATGCCAGTGAGGAGCAGAGCACCAATGGCTGGGAATCCCACCTCTCCCCGTGGGATCACTGTTGTCATGCTCCATCGGCTGTGAATGGAGGAGCTGTCAGTTGTGTACCTTGGAATGGTTTCTAGCCACTCGTATCGGGAAGGTGGCTTATTGCTAGTAGAACCAGAAGGTGGCTAGAAATCTGGCTAGATCGTCAGGCTCAATGGGTGGCGATCAACGACTCCTTGACTAATCAGCAACCTGTATCAAGGGGGAGTGGCCCAGGGGTCGGCCCTGGAGCCAGTTTCGTTCAGCATCTTCCTTAATGGTTTGGCTGTTGGGATGGATTGCATCCTCTGAAAGGCTGCAGGTGACAGGCAGATGAGAGGTAGATACGCTGGAGGATAGGGGTAGGCTTCAGAGTAGGGGTGGGCAAAGGGGCCTCTGTGGGCTGGATCCGGTCCGAGGCCGCCCTGCCGCTACCCTATGAAAGGCTGCAGGTGACAGGCAGATGAGAGGTAGATACGCTGGAGGATAGGGGTAGGCTTCAGAGTAGGGGTGGGCAAAGGGGCCTCTGTGGGCTGGATCCGGTCCGAGGCCGCCCTGCCGCTACCCTACCCCAGGCCAATTGAGATCTGGGGATGGGGGAGCTCACGAAGTCTCCCCCTGCCAGGGGAGCGTGGCATCAGAAGGAACCATTGGCTGTTTTAAAACAGCCAGCGGCTCTTCCTAGCCGTCATGCTCCCTGGCAGAGTGGGGGCCAAGGGCGAGAGACTTTGTGCACTCTCTGCCCCTCGGGCCCGATTGGCCTGGCGGTGGGGAGAGTGCGCAAAGTCTGCTCCCCCCACCTAGGGCGAGCAGCATCAGAGGGAACCATCAGCTGTTTTAAAACAGCCGGCGATTCTCTCTGGGTGCTGGGGACAAGGGTTGGGAGGAAGACTTCATGCGCTCCTCCCCCCTCCGGCCAATCAGAGTCTGTGGGTGGGGGAGTATGAGAAGTCTACTGGCCTCGCCCCCTTCCACCTGAAGCCACGCCCCTTCCAGGGCCACATCAGAAATTTAAAAAATTCTTGCCCATCTCTGATCCAGAGTGACCAAGACAAATTGGAGGATGGGGCCAAAAGAAATCTCATGAGGTTCTACAAGAGCAGAATCCCAAGCACTGTTACAGGCTGGGGACGGACTGGCTAAGTAGCAGTTCTGCAGAAAAAGTCCTGGGGTTTCCAGTGGATGAGAAGCTGGATATAAGTCAACAGGGTGCCCTTGTATCCAAGAAGGATAACGGCATACTGGGCTACATTCCCAGAAGCGTTCCCAGCAGATCGAGGGAAGTGATTATTCCACGCTAGTTGGCCCACACCTGGAGTATTGTGTCCAGCTTTAGGCCCTCCACTACAGCAAAGATGTGGACATATTGGAGAGAGTGCAGTGGAGGGCAATGAAAATGATGTTTCCTGGGGCACATGACTTCTGAGGAGAGGCTGAGGGATTTGGGCTTATTTAGTCTGCAGAAGCGAAGAGTGAGGGGGGATTTGATAGCAGCCTTCAACTACATGAAGGTTGGTTCCAAAGAGGATGGAGCCAGGCTATTCATCAGTGGTTGAGAAGCAATGCTTTCATGTTGCAGTGTGGGAGGTCTAGCTTGGATATGAGGAAAAGCTACTTCACCCTGAGAGTGGTTAAGTGCGGGCCTGGGTTCCCTAGGGAGAGGGTAGAATCTCCATCCCTAGAGGTTTTAAGTCCTGGCTTGACAAAGCCCTGGCTGAGATGATTTAGTTGGGGTTGGTCCTGCTTTGGGCAGGGGGTTGGACTCAATGACTCATGAGGTGTCCTCCAGCCCTTATCTGTTACGAGTCTAGGATCCGAAATGCACAAACCCAGCTCTGCATTGGGAGGCAGAAACAAGGCCGAGTGAGGGTGATCAGCCATTTAGATGGGGACTTGGTGTGATGTCAGCGGAAGGCCGGTGCGCTTCAGGAGAAGAGTTGTTGACGCAGAGAGTGATAGGAGCAGTGAATAAGGGTTTCACCTCAATAGAAGTGACATTGTGAGGAAGGGACAGAGAAGAAATTGGTGCTAGTGGGACAGAGGGGAGGGAGATTAGAGGGAAATGGATTTGGCTTCTAAGATTGACTGCAGGAAATCCTAGATGTGCTGCTATTGCAGTGTGGTGGAAAATTCAACCAGCTTCCCTTCTCTGTGCTGCCGGATGTGTGCACATATATAAAACTGGTTGCCACTAAAAGAAGAGCTTTTGTCCAGTCAACTCTGGCTGTGAGTTGTTTTGATGATGACGGTAACATGAGACAAACGTGAAGCATTTATTCTACTAAACATCCCGCATGAATGTTCTACACAGAAAGTGTTAAATTTTCGTGGTAGAGTTGGAAATGAGAGCAGCACTTCAGCATCAAGAGTTGTTTAAGCTTTACCCCCTGTCCCTTTGAGCATGGTTGGACAGCAGCTCTGCAGTCTGTATTCTTTGTTTAAAAAAACCTTCTTGTGTTAAAACTAAAACAGAAGCAATTCCGTTTCCTAGAGATGGAAAGTGACCTGGCTCATCAGCTGTTAAGGAAATTCAGTGGTTTTGAAGCAATTATTCTGCACCTAAATCTGGCCTAGGCAGGTGGCGCTGGGGCACTGACTACTCTGTGTTCCCATGTGTGAGATGTGACTTTGATTCCTGGTTCATTGTGGTTGCTCTCCTGGCTCAGAACTTACTCGCTGTTAAGGTGGAAGGTAGCTCCTTGCGAGTCCTTCTGCAAAAGCTCCTTTGGCTGATCTATTAGCATGGTTGATGTCCTAAATCAGATTGCTAGCTCTTCAGAGGGAGGGACTTCTCTTACTAGGCGTTTATAGAGCTCCTTGCACAACGGGGTCCAGATCCTAAGGAGGATTCAGTAAGCACCTACTGCTACTGCAGTCTAAATAATCCTGAGCACATAGACAGAGGGGTTGCTGACTGCTGCAGTACAATCTGCTGCTAACCTTCCCTGATCTCTCTACCCCTCCTCTTGCTTTTAAGAGTGGAGCAGTTGTACTCTGGCCTTACCTGTCGGGGCAGTGTTATCTGGCCATAAGCATGCAAACTGTTGATGCAACAGTGAAGTAACTTACAAGGCCTCTTATTTTGAGATCTCATGAGCCCGTCCTGCTTAGGCAGATATTCCTAAGTAGGCAGTTTTCTTGCAGGAATGACATTTTTGTTTAGACAGCTAAATAACTTCATTGCTGTTCTTAGCAGTGGCATTGAACTTCCCTAGACAGTAGGCCAATGTAGCTCCTGCACTTGTACCCTCATCCTCGTCATGCACATGTCGGAGAGGAAGGGACCTCGAGAGACCCTCGTTTTGGGGTCCTTGCAGTCAAGGCAAGAGTAGGGAACAAAAACCATTCTTTGTCATGGCTAGTACCAAAATCATCTTGTCTGTGGACCGATGGTCACGTCAACACTCTGGTCTCTGCTTGCCCATCCATAAAGAGGAGGTGGCTGCATAGATCAGGAACGGGCAACTTAAAAGTAGCAGAGGGCCACACGACCCACTGAAACTCTTTGGCAGGTCTTGGGGGTGATGCCGGGGGGAGTGTCAGCTCCTCCTCTGGGTGTGTGACACAATGTGGAGGGGGGGAGTTGGGCACCAAGCCAACCCTGCAGCCATACCACCGCACTAGCTTCTATCCTGCAGCACTAGCCTCGGGCTTGTTGACAGCAATTCCAGGACAGAAGAATCTGTGGGGTCCCTGCCCTCTTCTTCGGACAGAATCAAAAGCCCTGAGAACCCCACCCCTCCAGCCAGAGGACTCCTGGTCCCAGCTGTGCCTCCCCTGTCCATGCTTGGAGGAACCTCACTCAGCTTCAGCTGCACCTCTCTGCTTTTCCCCCACACCCAGCCAGCTCTGCAGAAGTCTTTCCAAAGATGCTTTTGATAAAAGTAGTGAATCTTGCACTTCGCAATCACCCCAGAACCTGCAGAGGGTGCATCAAAAGCGTCTTTGGAGGGACACTTTTCCCCAGAGCAGGACAGGTCTGGGGAAGGGAGGTGAAGCATGGCAGCAGCTGGCTGGAAGTCTCCTTTGACTGGGAGGGAGGGGCACTTGGGGCATCTCTGGGCAGGTGGAGGGGTGAGAGGGGCAGGGGAGTCTTGTGGCTTTGGTCAGAGTGGGAGGGTCCTTTGGAAGGAAAGGAGCTAGGGGCTAGCCTTCCCAAGGAGGGCTCCACCCTTGCCCTATGCACCCATGTCTGCAGTGTGCCCAGGCAATTTAAAAGGGCCTGGTGGAGTTCCTGTCTGCTGCAATGGCAGGGCAGTGGCTGGACCCCAGGCCTTCTTAAATTGCTCAGGTGCCTGGACATTCCCCTCTCTTTCCCCTCCCCGTCCCCTTGGCTGGCTTGACTGTCCTCTCTGCTGTGGCTCATTGGTTCCTACAACAGCATGCAGGCAAGCCCCCGTCCCTCCCCTGTGACAACCTGCTCCCTTCCTGGTGCCTTTGAATCACTTGCCCTGAGCTGGGCTGAGGCGGGTGAAATAAAGTGATCTGGTGGTGTGAGTTGCTTATTGCTGCCATAAACATTTGAGAGCCTTGGATGGGAGAAGGCCTTACACAGGACGAAGCGTTGTCAAGTATTGCCAGGCCTGCAAACGCTCTGTGGGGTCTGAAAATCCAGCAGTGTCTTTCTGCCTGTTAAAGCATCGCCGCATTCGGATCGCAGCTGACAGTTTTGTTAATGAGAAAGTCTCCCTGTCTTGTAGCTGTACAAGCTCTGCAGGCCTAAGCGAAGTAAATGCTTACTTCAGTAAAAGCTGATGGCGCTCAGACACTGCAGGGAGCAGAGATGTTGGG